ACTAGAGGGCGCCACAGTGGTCACGTGACTCGTTGACGCAACAATATGAAACATTTTTCATCTAACCATTACCCAATACCAAACATTGTTTGTCTAACCATTATCCATTGAGTGGGGGTGCCATATGGAACTCTTACCCAAAAAACACCTAATGTGCCTAATACCACAAGTTATTTCATAAAGGAACAGCAAATCAAGGCATACTATATTTGTGATTTAACTTCATTAAACATTTTATTAAGCTTATATAACATTCTGTTTATGATATACAATTTTTCTTCTAATTTTTCTTATTAAAATATATAAAAAATACATTTCTTATTATACATCTACTTTTCAATTTTCATTAAATTATTAATATTATCACTCATGTGAAAGTAACAAAATGTCAAAAGTGTATCATCACAATTTCTGGCAAAAACTAAAAGAAACACCTAGTCTTTTTCAATTAAACAAGAATCAAGTAAAATAAAAAAAATATGCAAAAATCATACACTCAGCTATTTAGTCTAGCTTACAATTTGCATAGCTGTCTTTGAGCTTGGGGACCAAAGCAAGAAAACCTTGAGACTACAAGTATAATTTTCATCATAAAAGAGCCCTTCACAGTTATTTTCACGTGAAAATAAATATATCTCACTGGAATCCCTGTGTAACACTAAAAGGTACATAAAAACGTACTTGCAAACATTTTTAACTGAACTCTTCACTTGAAAAAAAAAATATTATTTATTTAATATTTATTTAAATACAATATTCTGTTCAGTTCGTAGACATTCAACATTTCTCAAACTTAGCTTACTCTTTGCCAAGCTAGTACTAGTATTAGTACAACTAGCAGCAGTATCCACAAAAATATGTATTCAACATTTAAATTGTAATATAAATGTTATAAAGTCAAATAAATTTCAAAATCATTCAGTAAAAAGAAAAAAAAAAGGCTAGTCTGAGGGGCAAAAGTATACACATATATGCGCGTATCTGTATACATACTAATAACACAAGTATGATCTTTACATGATGTTTATCACATAATTATTTTGATATCGATGGAAACGCTAAGTCTAACCTATAGTATTATCTAGTTTTCCTTGTTTATATTTTAAACTATAATTGTAAAAAATAAACATAATATTTATGATGACTAATAACAAGAAAGTTTTTGCCCGTTAGACTCCTTGCATAATTCGTACGCTGCCAAACTTTTGTTAGAATATTATTTATGTATTTAACCCACGTTAATTTTGATTCTTAGGTTAATCCTTGGAATTTGGCTGTTCATGTGGTATGGAGAAGTGTTCCATTTATATAGTTTAGGTGGGTCCTTTCTGAGTTTTGCGACGACTACCAATCGACTTTGGGAGACATTTATTTTTGGCAATATTCGACTATATTATATGATTGGGGTTGTAAATTTGTTGCTGCTATCGAGGACGTAGGAGCACTTTTCCAGACTACAACAACATCAGCAAATTATGAAGAAAAGCCTATGTTTGGATCCTTAAGGGACATATTTCTTGCACACATGATGAATAAGATAGGGCTAACGGAACTACCCCTCCTTGAAGGACACCTGCCTCTAGAGTAAATGGCTCCTCCTGCATATATTTAGCATTTTCTGTTCTCCAGAAAGTTTGATAGCTAGAGAATAATACAGTGCGGTAGATTCATTTCTAATATACGAAACCTTAAGAGTCTCAATAGATGGAGAAAAAATACTTGGAAGCTCAGTTATCTATCAATAGATGGAGAAAAAATACTTGGAAGTTCAGTTATCTCTCAATAGATGGAAAAAAAAAAGAATAAGGAAAATACTTGGAAGCTCAGTTATCTATCAATAGATGGAGAAAAAATACTTGGAAGTTCAGGTATCTCTCAATAGATGGAAAAAAAAAAGAATAAGGAAAATACTTGGAAGTTCAGTTATCTCTCAATAGATGGATAAAAAAATAAGAAAGAAATACTTGGAAGTTCAGTTATCTCTCAATATATGGAGACTGTACTGAACTATTATTAAGAACCTTTACTTAAAATACAATAGAAGTAAGTACTTTCACAACCTTATATTTGTACAACAAATACGTCCTGATGCTCGTCCAATAACTACCAATTTAAATCCGTTTGTGTTCATTCAAGAATGAAAGATGCATAATTTATGTTTATTTCATAATTTTGTATGGTGGTTGCGAGATCGTTCAAAGTTTCCGGACCCGAACAGAAATTGATTACTGAAGACAATATACAAAATATAAAGTTTTCTCTTAGGAAACGTTTGGTAACTATTTGGACATTATAAAAATTTCGCATATGAAAGTTCGAAATTTTCTGATGCGCAAAAGTATTTTTAATGTTAAGATGAAAATTACTTTGCCTGACAGATAGGCAAGATGTGAAAAAATTGCCCGCCCAATTTGTATATAAGAGCAGTGTTATTATCTTCTCCTACTACTCGCGTTTTTGTGAGAAAATAACAAAAAGGAAAACCACTACTCAGGAGAATTACTTCTACATTTGATAATGGTTTCGATTACCGTCGCTAGATGACAGCACATAATGTTTTTTTTGTTAACTTCGACAGTTTGGGACTTTTCACTTCACAACAATGATATCTGACAAACCAATTTCGCTAAAAATAAGTAAATAGATAAAGAATCAATTGAATTAATATTTAATGTCTCAAGCACCCGAAGTATCTTTGCAAGTGACCG